ACATTGCATAATACCTTTAGTCATGATTAATAATTATTTTATGATGAGCGCTGCAACATCTATCCAAAATGCATCCCAAACCATAGGTATCAAGGATATGTGGTACAATAGCAATCTAGGTAAAGTCCTTAAAGGCAATTCAAATTTAGACACATGCATGTATATGAATTGTAGAGTTCATAGGTACAACGGGCCTTTGCTACACTTGCCTTCCTCAAAGTTTTCCTCTTGGTACTGCTGGTCACCCTGCTGGTCCTCAGTAATCTCGAATTGATCACCCTCTAAACGTGTTCCAATTCACCAATCAAGCATCCATTCTAATGATCATATGCATACAAAGATACTTCTATTAGAATAATACACCAAACAGTAAAAACATAGACTAAAAATCTTATAAAACTAAACTACGTTCTGCTATGAACACATGAGCGAAAGAATAACTCTAATCGAACTTAAAACGCAAAACTTATGCATGAAATAAGTTTCAATGGCATTTCTATAAATAAAATGAACTCAAATTTGAATTTAAACTAATAAAATCTGAATTTAAATGAATTATGGATGGCGCACTATTTTCTAAAACTACAGGGGCTAAAACAGAAGAAAATAGGACTAACAAGTATTACTTTTGAACTATATTGGACCGCGGGTTGATTCATTGAAAACCCGAGGGCTAAACTGCAAAAGAGCCGGCTGACTACGGGTTGACCTGCGTGGCTATTGACTGGACGCCACACGGTCGCACGGGATTGGTGCGGTGCACCACGTGCGCGTGGACGTGGCGTGTGGTGGCGGTGAGCCAAGTCCACGGTTCTCTGGTGGACCGGCTACATACTGAACCGAGATGGCCTAATTATGGCCGTCCATCCAAGAACGGACAGTGCCAAATGGAGGGGGCGCGTGGACCACCGGAGAAGAAGCCCTACGCGGTCGCCGCCATTAACACCGGCACCTGAGCTCATCGGGAAAACACCGAAACGGCGATTTCGACGGCCAAACTCGACGCGGACTACACCTAGATGATGCGCACAGTGATGCGAATTTGATACAGCACCAAGCAAGGTGGAAGACCTCATCGGGACAACGGCTCCGTGGTGGCGCCATGGCCGACAGGCACTGGATCTTGCTGATACGGAACTCCAGAGCACCAAGCTCTAAATAGGAAGGGCGGGGACCATGAGTAGTATACCAAGAACTCGATGACGGGGTTCTCGACGTCCGGGAGGGCTCCAATGAGACCGGCAGCGTGCAGCGGCGAGCTGAGGAAAAGAAAGCATCACAGGTTAGTGCAATCACGGGCAATCCGAGGCCAAAACGAAGAGATGAGGGCACCTACGGACGCGGTGAGTGACGACGGAGCTTCTGGGTGCGTTGTCGACGGCGTTGGAGCACCGACGCGGGCGGATTACGGCGACAGTGTGAGCTCGGGTGTGGATGGGGAAAAAGGGAGAGAGGGAGGGGCTCGGCGATGGGTTTTATAGGCGAGCGGCCGTGACAGAGATGGGAAGCAGACGCGTGGAGCTACAAATATGTGGATTTCTAATCCTTCCTTGGTTGGCGCGGGCGCGGTGATGAGTTGCCATGCATGGCGTGCGCCATCGCCGAGGACGAAGAAGGAAGGGAATGTGGACGACTGACGAGCGGGTCCCACGACGCAGTGGGTGAAAGGGAGCGAGCGCGCGGCCTGGGCACAAAGCAGGCCTCCGCCTGGGCCGAGCAGCAAGCCAAGCTTGGCCGCGGTGGTAGGCTGCTGGCGCGCGCGCGTGCGAAGGAGGGGAAGGGCGCCGGAGCGGGCCACGAGCAGGCCGAAGCTGCCGGGCTGCATGCGCGAAGGAGAGAAGGAAGGGCGCGCGGGGCTAGGCCGCTAGTAGGCCAAGCGCGGGAAGGGGAAGGAGGAAGGGATGGGCTAGCCTAGGGTTGGGCTGGAAAGGGAGAAGGAGAAAGTTTTTCAAGAAAAATCCTTTTCCATTTCTTGTTTTCAAATCTAAGCCAAAATTCAAATGAGTTTAAATTTTTAACACTAAACAACTTAGCCCTACACTCAACCAAAATCATATACTCCAGCATGAATGCAATCAATCATGTTTCTAAGCCTTATAGTGAATTTTAATTAGCAAAAAATTATTATTTTACATAGGTTATAATGCATCAAAAATTAAGTAAGTGCTCAAATTTGTAATAACTAGATTATAAATGAATTTTTAGGGTGTTGTAGCCAATAAGTTTAACGAGGAAAGATATAACATGCGAACAAATCGACTATCTAGTACAAACGAATCTACAAACGCTCTGAATCTAATATGTTACCATCAACAGTGAGATTCGACTGGATCGATACAACTATGATAATGATAACACACTAAAACCAAAAAATCTATAAAACATATATAAATTGACAGGTTCATGAAAAAATATGCTATATGTGTGAAGGCACGGTGAATCGACTAAAATAGCCGATGCATGTATAGCAAACAAACAGAGTACATATCTCGATCACGAACAAAACCACTAATCAATAATCTCTAATTTAAAGTCTTACCAATGAGGTTCGACCGGATCGATGCAGCTATGGTTGTGTCATTAGATTAGATCTTATTAACTAGTGAATTCATCCAAGGTCGAAAACATGTGTTTGAATGCATACTATACTTGATTGGAATATAGATAAAACAGTCGATCCAGCAGAATTAAACCAACAATTATGAGATTCAAAGTGTGATCAGACTAGAAGACAACTAATTATGATGATATAATGCCGATCTATCTCTATCTCAATCAGATAATTTGTTATGATTAATGGAACATTAATTATAACAAGATCGATAACTGATGAATCAACCAAGAACAGCTAGAAAAATCTTACTAATTTTAGAAGATTCGATAGCTGGTGATATTAAGATCGATAACTTTGATCTATATTATGATCCGTAAGAGATCAATCAGCTGATGCAGCCTTACGAATAATGATACAGATCGATAACTAACTTATACTATACTTGTAAAAGATCAATCGGCTGATGCAGCTTTACAAGCATAATATAAGTCGTGACGGTACTCACAGACAAGCCGGAGGTCAATCAGTCGATGCAGCCCTGCTTGTTGAAGAACTCGTCGAGATCTACAGTACTCCTACTCCTAGGGGTTGACGTGAAGCCGAAAAAGGTAATTGTATTGGTTGGTTGATCGTGTTTTACAATAACCGGGGTTCAATATTTATATCCGGAACCTAAACATGAATCCTATTCAAATACGACTCATTACAATTCTTGGAACAAAAGAAAACATTTCTAACTTAAAAATAACTTGGACTCTAATCTTTTTCTTTTTGTAGAGTCCGACATATTTTCCTCCGACGCCATCCATACGTAGCCCATTAACGTCGTCTGCTGACGTCATCTATAAAATAGCCGATTCCGACACTGCATCAAAACCAGCCGATATCGATTCACAATCTGATCGATTCCGTGATGATACAATCTTAGAAGCTTCGAGTTCTCGCTTTATCTTCTTTCAGATTTTGGTGTAAACAGTTATATGTTGTATGAATATAAGATAACTAAATATAAGCTGCATTCATTTTAAAATCATCAAATATGTAAAAGGATATATAAGAGACGCCCAAATTAGAATAAAGTCAAATTATATTTTTATATTTGCAAAGATTGGTTTAAAACTTAGTCTCATTTTATTTATATAAATACTTCTATATTATTTAAGAAATTTACACATTTTTAAAGTGTTTGCATATTGGGTTTTAACTAAGCATATTATAATAAAAAACATGTACGCACTAGTCAAATTATCATTTCCTTATAGAAAGAGCGGGTATAAACCTAATTTACATTTATATTAGAAACATGTTTAAATAAACATTAATTAAATTAAAATTATATATATAATTCTAAAACATGTCATACCACAAACGTCGCTAACGACACATAGGCTAAATTAACGCAATGAAAACAAGCTCACACCTCTAAGATTGTAAAACAATGAAGAATTTATAGTTGCAGGGACTTATTTTGAAGAGCGAAAGACTAAAATGTGAATATTTTTTAAAAATGTTTATTATCCGAAACTAAAGAAGTGTTTTCACGAAAACTTCATCTTCTTCCTTATGACATGGCCAACCAAGGCATGGCTGGTCGGCTCCTTCTTGCCGGCCCTCACGGCAAGTCGTCGAGATGGCTATGAGTTCGCCGGCAGCCGATTGTCTATTTGTATTATAAAGTTTTTTTGTTTGTCAAAACACAGAATTTTGCTTTCTCTGTAAATTGGAAGGAGGTTCTACTATTTTGAATATGGTGATTTGAGATTTGGTTTGTATTCTCTTGTTCATATGACTTTAGAAAACTTTTGGTTGTAGTATGCCTATGCCCGATCATGGTCATGTAGGCTACATATTGCCTCTTAGTTACTTAGTTTGCATTGACAGTTATTACCATAAATAACTTCCGTTACAATATACTCCAACTGATATAAATTTAGTCGTATATTATAGAAGAAAAAATAAAGATAGGAACCGGACGGCTAGACGTCGGGATGATCGGCGGCGCGCTGTTAGCGTCCGACTAGCGAAGAGTGGCTGCCTCTACCACGTTCCACCTACCACCGTCCACCACCGCCGACCACGCACCAAGCGTTTTCCATGCGCGGGGAGCGTCGCCCAAAATACAGCCGTTGCGACAGCCGCAGCAGCCCAGCCTAGTGACGGTCTCGCGTGTCGTCCATTGGATTCCACTCCACCCGTCCCAAGGCTAGTAATCGATATGCCACTAGTACAAATTTCGTGTGTGACACCGTATCACTGATTTTTGGGACCCACCGCTGAGCACCATCAGCCGCACCCGCACCCTTTCCTTCTCCGGGCACTGTACCCTTCTGACTGCGCCTGGACAGGGGGTCCTCCCACTTCTTCCTCCTCACACCGCTCCAGCCTCCAAGCGATCGCAGTCCGTGCGATATCTGTTCGCAGTCGCAGTCACCACTGTGCTCCTGGGATGGCGCCGTGCTGCCTGCCCCAAATCGACTGGGGGATCGAACGCCCCCGTGCCTTTCGCCTCGCCGCGGCGCTGTGCGCGGCTGTGGTCGCGCTGGCGCTGGCGCCCGCCTCGGATGCCACGTCGGCGTCGCTTGTGGGCATCAACTACGGCCGCGTCGGGAACAACCTCCCGCCGCCGCAGTCCGTCACGCCGCTGCTCGAGGGCCTCGGTATTGGCCGCGTGCGGATGTACGACGCCGACCCCACCGTGCTGCGCGCGTTCGCCCGGACCGGGGTCGAGCTCATCGTCGGCGTGCCCGACGAGTGCCTGGCCGCCGTGGCCGACCCGGGCGGCGCGGCGCAGTGGCTCAAGGAGAACGTCGTGCCCTTCCTGCAGGACACGAAGATCGCCGTGCTCGCCGTCGGCAACGAGGTGCTCACCGGCGCGAACAGCTCCACGCTGTCGCGCACCCTCCTCCCGGCGATGCAGTCCCTGCACGACGCGGTGGCCGCGCTCGGCCTCGACAAGCAGATCACCGTCACCACGGCGCACAACCTCGGCGTGCTCGGGACGTCGTACCCGCCCTCGGCGGGGGCCTTCCGCAAGGACCTGCTCCCGTACCTCTGCCCCATCCTGGACTACCATGCCAGGACCGGCTCGCCGTTCCTCGTGAACGCGTATCCCTACTTCGCCTACTCCAGCGACCCCAGGGGCGTGCAGCTTGACTACGCGCTGCTCGAACCGGGCTTCGCCGGCGTGCAGGATCCCAACTCCAGGCTGCGCTACCCCAACCTCCTCGTGGCGCAGGTGGACGCGGTGTACCACGCCATCGCGGCGGCCAACACCGCAGCGTCGCGGGTGGTGGAGGTGCGGGTCTCGGAGACCGGCTGGCCCTCCGCGGGGGCCGCCAACGAGACGGCCGCGACGCCGCAGAACGCGGCGCGGTACAACAGCAACGCGATGCGGCTGGTGGCCGAGGGCAAGGGCACGCCGCTCAGGCCCGGGGCGCCGCTGCACGCCTACGTGTTCGCGCTCTTCAACGAGAACCTCAAGCCCGGTCTGGCATCTGAGCGCTACTACGGCCTCTTCAAGCCCGACGGCACGCCGGCGTACCCGCTCTCGTTCAAGCTACCGCGCGACAACTCCACCTTTGGTCACGGCGGCACCGGCAACGGCGGCGGCGGCGGGTTCGGCGGTAACGGCAATGTCAATGGCAATGGCAGCAGCGGGAACATTAGCGGCGGCGGAAACAGCGGCGGCTACTACGACATCTCGGCTTCGGCACGTAACACTCCGGTGAGCTCTGATTCTGCCCTTCTCTCCCCAATTGTTCTTGCTGGTAGGGATCATGGTTTTTTTTAATCTTTTTCTGTTGGCGTCTTTCTGAAAAAGGAGAAGATACTAGCTGTTTTAGCGCTCGAGAATGTCGTGCAATGATCATCATCATGCGAGTAAACGTCGTAGGTTCACTATATTCTGTGCAGAAATTAGACGGTGGAATTAGAAAATTTGCTGCACGATCAGCACCAAATTGTATATTCCCTGATCCCCCACCGCGTGCACATCCTGCGTATCGGCACAGTGGATAGGATGATGTGGACGCTTAAATCACCATCAACACGATTCTGCTGTCGCTTTTTCAATATCCTTCGTACATGGCGTCTTTGTTTAGTTTAAGGATGCCTGAATGATCTGAAGATCTTCACTTGTTCACACCAGGAAAATATGTGTAACATGAAAACTAATTTCAAAAATACACTTCTGTATGTGGCTACATACATGGATGCACTATATATATGCCAAGTTTCAAACCTTTTTGTGTTACGAATTTTGTTTTTGAATTACTTTTCATGTTTCTACCGAAGATATGATTTTCACCACATATTTTCGAGTCCATGCCTGCATCCTAAGGTAAGGGCGATTTGGTGTCTGCATAAACCAACAACAGATCTAGAAGTTTCACTGCAGTGGGCTACAGTACTTGTTTGGAGGTACCTGCATGCTGCATAGCGCTTGCACATTCGCACCAGGACCACAGATGCAGTCCAACATGAAATTTCTTGAAATGGGTGCTGACGGAGTGTCTCCCCACTACTTTCGTCGTGGCTGATCTGCTTGTTGTTTGCCGTGGCTGGAATTTCATTGCGCAAGCTGTTCCTAGTCCTAATGATGTGCTCCTCGTTTGTTTCCGGCGGTGGTCAACAGGGCTACTGGTGGACGTGGGCGCAGGCGGCAATGGCAGGAGCAGTAGCCGTCCTGACAGTGTAGCGCCGCCCTCAGCGCCTTGATGCACGGCAGATCGTCAAGGGTAGGTCCGGTGGAGTAGGATCAGGATGGAGCAGAGTTGCCGGTTGCCGTCCTGGGGCAGCGGCCGCCTGATTTGCTGCTGCTCGTATGCTGTGGTTTCAGAGACCGATCTGTGAGCTGTGACTTTGAGTGACCTTACGAAGTACTGGTAGCGCCACGGTAAAAATCAACTAAAATAGTGTTGCGCTGCTTCGTTGTAGACAACGCTGTTAAATCCGGTCTTTAGGTGCAAACTGGAGGTCGAATCTGCCTAATCCTTGTACTTTTTACTTCGAATTGTCACCAAATATAAATTTTTCCCATCTACTTCTTTATATAGCGATGTGAACATACGAGGATCACCGGTCATATGTTGAGTGCAACCATTATCAATAACCCAATAACTTTCACCGGTCTTGTAGTTCACCTTTCGTTCACCTTTGACCATAAGACATAGGTGTGTAGAGGATGATGACAATGGTTTCGATGGAGATAGTGAAGAACCAATCACAAGAGTGGCCACCTTCTCCTTCTCATTTTTATTTTCATCATCGGATGAGCCACTTGATTCAATATCCGTGAGTCGATCACCAATAATATAGGTCTTGCCATTCTTTTTTTTCTTGTGAAATTCTTTTTCTTGCCATCATTCTTCTTGTATGGCTTGTTCTTTTTCTCATCATCATCATCATTACTTAAGTCATCTTTCTTGTCCTTGTACTTCGTCTTTTACTTGTTTTTCTTGGGTTTGGGACATTTATGAGCTAGATGACCAAGATCTCCATAATTATAGCAATCCATTTCGAAGATGGGCTTCCTTCTACTACTAGTGAAGAATTTCTTCTTGTTGTCATTAAATTTGACACCATTCTTATTTAGCTTTTTGAGCATCTTGGTGGTTCTTCTCACCATGAGAGCAAGGTTTACATCATCAATCTCGTCACCACTTGAGCTATCATGATCAACTTTTGCTTTGCCCCTCTTCTCTTGGCTAGACTTTATGCCAAATCTTTCTTCTTGGGTAAGAAGAGCCATTTTGTGGAGTGATGTGCATGTACATCTCATGTGCATTGATCTTCCCTAATATTTGAGTTGGCATAGCGGTGGAAAGATCACCTTGATGAAGCACCGTCACAATATGTCCATACTTGTCAATGGGGAGGACACTCAAGATCTTTCTCACAACATCGGATGATTGCATTTGAGTGAGTCCAAGTCCATTGACCTCCTCTACAAGAACATTTAAGCGTGAATACATTTCATTAGCATTTTCACTATGAACCATTTCAAATGAATTAAGCTTCTTCATCACAAGGTGATAGCGTCCCTCACGCTCACTCTTGGTTTCCTCATGGAGCGCACAAATGTCCGACCATAGTGAATGGACGTCTTTATGGTTCCGTACACGGTTAAAGACATCCTTGAAAAGGCCTCTAAAAAGAGTGTTTTTAGCCTTTGCATTCCACTTCTCATAGTGAACCTCATCACCTTGAAGGATGACGGGATCCTTAGGTTCTAGGAAGTCTTGTGAGGCGGCTCTAAGCACTCCAACATCTAAAAGCCTCTAGGTACGCCTCCATGCGAATTTTCTAATAAGAAAAATCATCTCTCTCAAAGACGGGAGGGTGTTCATCCCCGTAGGACATCTTGCTCTAGGCGGTTAAGCCTATTTAAGGAAACACGAGGCTCCGATACCAATTGAAAGGATCAAGATGCCCAAGAGGGGGGTGAATTGGGTAAATTCTAAACTTTTTTTTAATAATTAAGTCCTACACTTAGTCTATTTCACCACCTTTTGCCTAGAAGTATTTTTATTATTCTACCTGGGGTTCATAAACCCGAGGTCCCTCGGGGACCGGCTTCCACGCCAAGGCTCGGCCTAAGCAGACAGCACGCAACTCATGTGCCGGTCCAAGTACCTGAGCGCCAGGCCGGAGGAGTGATCCAATCTCCGACCGGAAGGTCAGGCCGAGAAGGAACAGCACCCGTTTTTCGGCTCTAGCCCACCTCTTCGACCGGAAGGCCTGGCCAAAAGCACCATTTCCGACCCCAACCCCTCACTCTCCATCCAGGGATACGCCCAGCCCCTGCTCACCGCTCTTCTCGGACTAGCGCGATCAGAACCGACTGGGATCAATCGACCGGGGACGCCCGCTCGGTAGGGACCGAGAGACGTGCAGAGAAAAGCGGGGCGAGGCGCATAAGTCAAACCACGGTACCAGGGACCATACCCTGCACGGAACAGTACTCTACAACTGCCCTGACACAAACAGTGTTGTAGGCGCCTACATTTCCCCTACAGTATTATGGGCGCCATTAAAACTCCCATACGATAAGTCTCCCTCACATGCCTCTGGGCATCAACAGTGTTGTGGGCGCCGGGATTTACCATACCGAGCGCACATGGTAAAACTCCTCACATGCCTCTAGGCATCAACAGTGTATGCAGGTACCGACATCTGCCATACCCAGACAAGGATGACGGAACCTCCCATGTGCATCTGACATCCAACAATGTTGTGGGCGCCTACCATCGTTCTGTGCTCGTCGGCGTGGGCAACAAGGCTAGAAGCATCCATACTCTCTCCCCCTCACTTGTAAGGCCATCCCCTTCATCTATAAAAGGGGATATGCCCTCTCCCAAAAGATAGAGCCCTTTTTAGTTAATCAACATCGATCAAGTTCACTAGCTCACAACCACAGAACCGCCGGGTTTGAACCTCAAGCACACGCTTGAACACTTAGCTCATAGCGTAGCTCTGTCGCTCTCGGCCCTTCCAACCAGAGCCGACCGGACCTCTTGTACACCTATCTTTCTCCTTCTTATTTGTAACCCCACTGCAAACTTCGAGCACCTAGGCTCAGGAATAAAGTCACTGACCGACTCAAACTGGACATAGGGCACGTTGCCTGAACCAGTATAAACCCTATGTCATTGAGTGCTAGACCACATCCAATCACAACGTACGGTAAAACTACAAATATTTACTAGTTAGTCACTTTCTGTACCGACAGTTGGCGCCATCCGTGGGGAAGACGTTGTATGTTCAACACTTTTTCATCATCGGATGGCCCACTTTTCCGCCCCCTCGCTATGGCGGGGTCGAGCAATACGATTCGCTTCGGCTCGCTCGAGTTTCCCGCTCCCCCACCGATTGGGATGCGGGTTCCACCCATCTTCGAGCCATCCCAGGCCTTCCTCTTCGGAAGCCTAGACTTCGTCGCTGACCGGCTCGGTGTACTACACCTCCGCGAGGACGCTCACATCCCGACACCCATCGGAGGGGCGCCCTCCATCGACTTCAGGACGCACGACTTCGACGACATGGCATCTGCGCTTCTTTCCGAGCAAACTCTTTGCTCAAACCCCGTTGTGAGCAATGTACATGCTGTTATTCACTTACTATTCTCTATCTTTCGCTGATTACCCGGAGGAACCCCGTTGTCCCCAACGCAACCGCCATACGATCGGTTCCCCTACGGCCTCGTGTCATTCGCGGACACAAACGCCTGGGGGCTCCGTAGGATGCCAGCTCCGCCCTCTCTCGCATCCAAGTTCGTGGGAATGGTGAGCTATGCTCCCACCTGTTTCCTCGACCTCATGGACGACGATGGCGAGAGTGACGGCTCCAGTATCGGCGACATGGCACCTAGCCACCGTCCGTCCTGGGAGTATGCCATGGCGGACGCTCCGGGACACCCACCGACGGAAGCAGAGTCCTCATAGACTCACACCTCGCCGGACTCTCGTGCGGAGACCCCTAAGCCCACATAGGAACACGACGAGGCACTATGGCAACAGTGGCTACATCAGCCACCGACTGCGCCAACACGCTCGGCGCACCACACTATGCCCCGTGCGCATAGACCGGCGAGCAATGCCTGGGGTCGCGCCCGTTAGGCCCAGCGCAACACCATGGACAGGGGGAACGATCCCCCACAGTTTGTTCGGCCCAGTCAGAACATCACCGCTGCGGCGATGCTTCTGCACGGCCTGTCCGAGCCAAACGACCCTCATGAACCGGCGATCCACCGGAACCTCTGGGCACTAGTGGAGACCGCCGCCGTGCAACAAG